TCTAAACTTGTGAAATTTGAGATGGACAGTGCGTTATCATGTCCATGTTATCAATGGTTTTTATACTAGGTTATAAAAAGCATATAAGTGCTAAGGAGGGATAGGGAATGAAATTTTCAATGACAATAATACCATTGTTCATGAACAATCAGCTCTTTTATATCCCCTATCCCAAGCTCATTTCCATATCCAAACGGTTAGCCCACCACCACCCATCGCTCTCGGCCAAACGGTACCGGGATCCCGCGGCTCGCGCACGAGCACCACGAACTTTCTTCTCCGACGTCCCACCGCTCCCGCTCGGACTGCCACCACCGCCCCACACCTCCCGCCGCGCCGCCGACCGACGGCGCGCATCCGCCTCCTCCGCTCCGCCTCTCCCGTCCTGCCTCCCGCGCCGTCTCGCCTCTCATCGCCGCCCCGCCTCCCTCCGTCGTTCCTGGCCGCCGGGCTTCTTCTCCGTCGCCGGCAACGCGCGTGAGGAGGGAGAAGGAGCCGGTGAGATATACTTTTTTCATCTCCTCCATCTTTCGTAACACCCCCCCCCCAACGGTCCGACTGGGCGAGCGCCGCAGCACTACGCCGGGTGCCCAGGCCTCCGTCGGTCACTTCGCCAGGCCTTTCGTCGCGGGCTCTTCGCCGGCGACGAGCACCAACTGTATGCGCACACTTATCTTCCCTTCCTGCTGCGCGCAACCCTGATACTTCAGCTTTTTTGCTATTTGTATTATGCCTAGTTGCCTACCACTAACTTCGACTTTTACAAAAAGAAAGGCTTTCCAGGTGTAGCCCCATGTCTTTTACAAAAAGATATATCAGTATATCACCATCGTATATCTCTGAACTTTGGACATTTGAGATGGACAGTGCGTTGTCATGTCCATGTTATCAATGGCTTTTATACGTTAATCGTAAATCGATGACTAAAGTCATTTGGTTATATCAGATGCTTTTCATTTATGAATCTGACCAGTGCTTCTCTACATACATAGTCGCATGTTCTTGGGATTGCAAAATTATACCAAGTCAAGGTTTCGACTTTCGAGCATAGGCTTCTATCTAAGACGTTCAGTAATTGTGGTCCATTTTAGTGCACTTATTGCTACATTATGTTGGACAGACAGATTCTTGTCACAGACTCACAGTGCCTTCCTGGCTGCCTTTGGTTTAAGTTATTGAATCTGAAATCTGACCATCATGAACCAGGTTGAGGATTGGTCCTCTACAAGCATGGTATAATGGTAGAGAGCGGAGTTCAGCTGATACTGACCTCCACTTTGAAGAGCACAGGCAAGACAAGGATCAGTGCAGACGGGCTGAATAATGGATCACATACTACCAAAGTAAGCATCGGAAAGCATAGAGATAGAGTGGTAGCAAAGTTTTTTTTTTTCAGTCATCACTAGCGTGTCTTCACATTGCATTGGTCTCTTCTCCCTAATATACAAAAAAGAAACCATTTTCCAAAGCTAGGATTGAACTGAATATATCACATGATTTTTGTACTTAATATACTAAAAACAGGTTTGCTGGGCATCAGAAATTTGGTTCCTGGCTTGGTCAAGTGGCATAAATAAATATGGAAAAGGATCACCATATAAAATTTGAATCACTTGAGGTGTCCTTTTATTCTTTACCACTGTTCTCTCCCACCTCATTTCAAAGAAAACAATTTCCTTATGTTTCAGGAGAAGCATGAACATAATGGCACTTTACAACCATCAAAAGGCCAGAAGCAGCAGCTGTGCACAACATGTGCAAAAAGGCATACTTGTCAATCGGTCATTAATCGAACAAGACAAATGCGAGCTCTAATGGACTCAAAGAAGCCCTACCAAGCACACTCTGTATTCAAGCACTTAATGGATGAGGGACACAAGCCTTCATTGGTCACATACACAATTCTACTGACCGCCCTGACAAACCAGGGGATGTTTGAGTCAATTCCATCACTACTTGCTCAAGTTGAACTAGCTGGAATCAGGCCAGACTCTATCTTCTTCAATGCCTTGATAAATGCGTTTGTTGAGGCAAATCGGATGGGTGAAGCAATAAACACATTCTGGAAAATGAAGCATTCTGGCTGCCACCCAACTACAAGCACCTTCAACACACTGATAAAAGGATATGGCATTGTAGGCAAACCTGAAGACTCACAGCGCGTCTTCGACATGATGGGCATTGAAGGATCAGTCAGGCCTAACCTCACAACATACAACATTCTTGTGAAGGCATGGTGTGATCGGAGAAATCTTGAGGAGGCCTGGGGCGTTGTGGGCAAGATGCGAGCAGGTGGTGTTGAGCCTGATATCGTCACTTACAATACCATAGCCAGTGCATATGCCAATAATGAAGAGACATGGAGAGCAGAAGAGCTCATTCTGGAGATTCAGACTAGAGTACGCACCAGTGAGCGAACATGGGGCATAATTATTGGTGGTTATTGCCGGGAGGGCAGGTTGGAGGAAGCATTGCAATGCGTCCAGCAAATGAAGGATGCAGGAATTGTTCCTAACGTCGTCATCTTCAACACACTGCTGAAGGGCTTCCTTGATGCAAATGACATGGCTGCAGTCAATAATGTGAGTTCAGGAGAAACGTTCCACTTTTGTTCATGTACATGCTAGGAGAATGGATTGTTTAATTTTGTGTTCATGTGATGCAGATCCTGGGTCTGATGGAGCAGTTTGGCATCAAGCCTGATATTGTCACCTACAGTCACCAGCTGAACACATTCAGCTCTCTAGGCCACATGGCTAAATGCATGAAGGTGTTTGACAAAATGATCGAGGCAGGAATCGAGCCAGATCCTCAGGTATACAGCATTCTTGCCAAAGGATTTGTCCGTGCTAAGCAGCCTGAGAAAGCAGAAGATCTTCTGTTGCAAATGAGCCATCTTGGTGTCTGCCCAAATGTCGTCACCTTCACCACTGTCATTAGCGGGTGGTGCAGCGTGGCCGACATGGAGAGTGCCATGAGAGTCTATGAGAAGATGTACAAGTCAGGCGTCTATCCCAATCTCAGGACATTTGAGACTCTGATATGGGGCTACAGCGAACAGAAGCAGCCATGGAAAGCTGAGGAAGTCCTTCAGATGATGCGGGAGACTGGTGTCAAGCCGAAGCAAAGCACCTACTGTCTCATTGCTGATGCATGGAAAGCTGTTGGTTTGATTGAGAACATGAACAACTCAAATGGTTCCCCCAATGGTCCTTCTGCAATTGACAAATTGGATCATTCAAATGACAATTGCAACGTTCAAATATCAGAAGACAATAACAAGCTGCAAAGTTTTGATGAAAGTAATGGACGTGCAATGAATGGTCGGTCACGTTCCAGTTTTCTTCAGATAACAAATGCACTAGGCAGCAGTGGTATAGTTTCTGCCAAGGTCCTGAAGGCTGGAGAATTTCCATCCAAAAGACTGAAGGCTATCAAAACCACATCCTTTCTACAAAGATCACAACGATTTCAATTGTTGCACCTCGAGTTTTGTAGGAAGCAGCTTCAGAAGAATGGTGGATTCTATAGTCAGAGCATCAGCTCATTCAAAATGGTTTTGTCTAGTAGAGGATGCATTTATTAATTAGATGTACACATTGGGCTGTAGCTTAAAAAAATTCTCGGTGTTCCAAGTCTGCTGCCTATGATGTGGGTCATTTTGTATGATTCAGAGTAATTCCTGCAGTGCCAAGCATTTCAAACGTTCAAACAATTTCACAAGTAGTTTCAAAATATGTGCTGTTTAAAAGCAACCAAAAAGACTACACCCATGACTGGTGTGTGGTGTACATTAGTCTGTAAGAAGAAATGCCGCCCTCAATACTTCCTCAGAGGAATGAGTGCAAGCTGTGTTTTTTTGGAGTCATGAGTTCCTAGCAAGTGTCCATTCACATTTCCTCCCCTGTTGCTAGGTACGCCAAGATATTTGAGACCTGGTGCTAGGAAATTCTTCATATTGAGTTTTTGTTTTCTTCCTTTGAATTTCAGAGTTAAGAACTTACATTGATGCACAAAACAATGATTTACGACACCCCCAATGTGCTAACAGCTTAATTTGACTTTGCTACCAATGGTCTCATGGTCTAAGTTATGTAACTAACTAATTAGAATAACTCAGTTGTAGTAAAAGATATCAGGTCTAACATTCGTTTAGTGCTTTCTTAGTTCGCTAGGTATTGATGTTTAGGTTGCTTGCTATCCTGCTTAAGTTCAGGCACTGCTTCATACTGATGTTTTGTGCTGTGTTTTTGGAGTCATGAACTCGTAGCAGGCAGGTATCATTGTGTCATCTGTCTTGCTAGGCATGCCAAGAGGCAAGAGAATCAATGCCTGGTGCGAGTTGATACTCTTTAGTGGGTTTTTGTTTTGGTGTGCTAGAGCTACTTCTGGTTGTTGGCATGGAAAATTGGATTTGATGTTCTTAACTTGCACCGGCTGACAAGATTATCCTTAACTAATGTTAACTTGTTATGGTCTTTTTGGCTTGCCCTAAGCTGTCATGTTTCATGTTTTGAATGCTGTTGGATCAGTTTTATGCATTAGAAAACGTTGCGACTTTTGAATGGAACTATAGAAACTGTCCAGTGGGACGCTACGCACACCCTGGTGATCGCACATTTTTCTGGATTTTTTCCAAAAAATTTAGGGTACACGCACGCGTGCGCGTTTGGTGGTACTGTGTGTTTCCGCGCACTGGAGGTGGTGACGCCTCCCAATCTCTTCTTTGCGTGTGTTCGGACGCGCACGTCCGTGTGTGCGTGTAGAGTGAGTGTGGAGTGTGTGGGTTGTGTGCATCCAAGTTGTACCCGATAAAAAAAACTATGTAACTGGACATAGCATATATCTAGGTACATAGCAAGCCTATGTACTTAGAAAAACCAAAATAACTTACATTTTGGAACGGAGGGAGTATATTTTTGGAGTTGTATGGAACTGGTGTCTGCCCAAATGTCGTCACCTTCACCACTGTCATTAGCGGGTGGTGCAGCGTGGCCGACATGGAGAGTGCCATGAGAGTCTATGAGAAGATGTGCAAGTCAGTCGTCTATCCCAATCTCAGGACATTTGAGACTCTGATCTGGGGCTACAGCGAACAGAAGCAACCATGGAAAGCTGAGGAAGTCCTTCAGATGATGCAGGAGACTGGTGTCAAGCCGAAGGAAGGCACCTACTGTCTCATTGCTGATGCATGGAAAGCTGTTGGTTTGATTGAGAACATCAACAACTCAAATAGTTCCCCCAATGGTCCTTATGCAATTGACAAATTGGATCATTCAGATGACAATTGCAACGTGCAAATAACAGAAGACAATAACAAGCTGCAAAGTTTTGATGAAAGTAATGGACGTGCAATGAGTGGTCAGTCACGTTCCAGTTTTCTTCAGATAACAAATGCACTAGGCAGCACTGGTATAGTTTCTGCCAAGGTCCTCAAGGCTGGAGAATTTCCATCCGAAGGACGGAAGGCTATCAAAAACACATCCTTTCTACAAAGATCTGAACTATTTCAATTGTTGCATCTCGAGTTTTGTAGGAAGCAGCTTCAGAAGAATGGTGGATTCTATAGTCAGAGCATCAGCTCATTCAAAATGTTTCTCTAGTAGAGGATGCATTTGTTAATCTGCCCCGTTCGCTTCGCTGAAAAAACAAGCCGAAACACTGTTCCGGCTGATTTGTTGGCAGAGAAAAACACTATTCCGGCTGAAAAAACAAGCTAAAAAGTACGGATTATAAGATAAGCGAACGGGGCCATTGGGCTGTAGCTTAAAAAAAACTCGGTGTTCCAAGTCTGCTGCCTATGATGTGGGCCATTTTGTATGATTCAGAAGCAATTCCTGCAGTGCCAAGCATTTCAAACGTTCAAACAATTTCACAAGTAGTCTCAAAATATGTGATGTTTAAATAAAATAGCAACCGAAAAGACTACACACATGACTTGCCCTGGACGCCCCCCCCTAAAGAAAACCTTGTCCCTAAAATTTCTGATGCTTGGGTGTTCTGACAGATTATGCAGGGACTTCTTGATCAGTATACATTGACCAGGCATAAGAAAGGTCTTGAAAACGTGTCTCTGGTGTGGCTGACCAACTTTTCAGCAACTGTGGGAAGAACCTGATACATTATTACACTATTGGAGACACTGGGAGGCAATAAAGAGGCCACCAGTGGATTCAATGATGTCATGTATCAGCTGTATACTAACAATGTTAATCTCAAATTCTTAATGACACTGAAATTTAGCAGTACTGAGCTATCTTTTGTTTGGATTGTGCTGACATCTCTGCACATGTTGTATGATGTTTTTCTTACAGGATTGCTTCTTACTCCCTGCAGAAAGATCAGAAGCATTTGACCTTGGCTCATCTTTTGGATAAACCATGCTTCCTTGGACTGAAGTGCCTCCTTGGATAAACCATGCTTACAACGGCAAGAGCTTTGCTAAAATGGGCCGAAGTGAGAGATAGCATTTTTACTTATTTTTACTTACTCAGCTTTATTGCGGCGTCGATCTTTCCTATGGTGCGGCAACGATGCGCCAACTGGAGCTCAGAGCCTGGTTGCCTGGGAATAGGTATGGTGGTCTAGGGACAATGACAGACTCGGTATCAAAGACAGCCTGATGAATGATTGCCTCCTTCTGAAGCTGATACACCCACCGGGCTATACGTGGCGGAAGACTCTGCTTGGCGCGGCGGGCGACATTCACAGTGTCAAGTGTCCAGCTTCCTTCCCTCATAAACACCTCTGTACCTTTGTGTCCCTTTGCTGTTGGCAGCTCTGGAAGTGCACGAATGGGATTATCTTCAGGTTCTAAACAGCAAGCCTTAGAGTCTGCTTGGTTTAGCTGTGAGCCGTGAAAAAATTATTATGAGCTATATGCTACAGAAAAACTATAAATTGTTTGGCTAAAATAAGCATAAAACCTACTCCTTCCTCTTATCTCCTTTGAAACAGGTACGAAGCAGCTCTCTATTTTCACCTATTTCAAAAAGTAGAAAACCAAAAGCCAAAATTAGGGTCAAGTTGCTTTCAAAATTGAACTACATCAAAGCATTTGGTTCTAGAAAAACAGTTTTATATTTCGCCTATTTGGTTGGCTTTCTACTTTTTGACAACAAAAGCACTTTTTAACAGAGTCGTAAAAATGGCAAGAGTAGATTCGCTCAAGCTTGCCAACTCAGCCAAACTAAGCCCATTGGGCCGAAACAGTACCCAACCAACTGAGTAAGAACAAGTTTAATTTGTTTTATTATAAGACGCACTGACGGTCGTCACAAATTTGTTACGTCTTGATTTTCTTTTACTCCTTCAGAAATGTGATGTGCAGGGCCTCTGTTCCGTCCGAACGCCTCTTTCAAGGAGTGCGGACCAATCCAATAGACCTCCCACGTCCGTCCCATCTGTTGCTCTTGCCGCCCGCCCCACGTGCTCTGGCTTATGTTCCGCGCGCCTGCTCCTGCTCCGTCGTCCGCCCTGCTGCTCCTGCTCCGTCGTCCGCCCTGCTGCTCCTGCTCCGTCGTCTGCCCCGCCCGACGATGCCGACAGGAGCCGCCAGCGCAAGGAGAAGCATCGGGCCCTGGCGCGGAAGCCCTCCGGCCTCGTCTCTTGCTACGTTTGTGGCGCCCCGATGCAGATGGCGGAGGAGACCCCACCGGGATACTATAAATGTTGCAAGTGTACATTCCAAATGTATGTTTAAGAGATATGTTGCGAGTGTTTCATACGGATGTTGCAAAAGTAGATCGGAATGCTGCATATGTTGCAAAAGGTACCCCGATGCAGACGGCGGAGGAGGCCGCACTGGATACTATGCATGTTTGTACATTTTAAATGTTTCAGATGTTTAAGAGGTACGTAGCAAGTGTTTCATATGGATGTTGCAAAAGTACGTCGGGATGTTGCAGATATTACAAAAGAAGATCGGGATGTTGCATATGTTACAATAGTTGTACGCGTATGTTACAAGCATCTATTTTTTAGACGTATGTTGCAAGTATGTTTATCTGAACGTTGCATATATTTCACACATATGTTGCAAGTGTTTTATCTAGATGTTGCGTATGTTTATAATGGTTTTCAAGTGTTTTTGCAAGTATTTGAAATACATGTTTTAAGTGTTTCGTCTTTCTTCAGATGTACGTTACAAGTGTTGCATCTGGATATTTTAAAAGTAGATCGTGTGTTGCATAGAGGATGCGCGTAGGGAGCGGAAGAGGGCGTGAGCGACCCCTGCAACACGGGCCCCTGTGGGCGCACGAAAAGCAGGCGTGGGTGGAGGTGTGCTGGCACGGTCGCGGAGTGCAGACACGCGTGCGGAAAAAGAATTGGCATAGGTCACAGTACCGTTCGACGGATCGGTATCCGATCGGACGTCCGGCGCCAGCAATTCCGTTACTGCTGGGGTATTGTGCTTGTTAAAGGATGTAAAATCATCCGTGGCGAATTTGGCGTCTATTTGGACTGGACGCGGACTCTGGCATCATTCGGTTGATGGGATTTAGACACGGTGGAAGGGATTTTATTAAATTGGTAGTACAATTATATCTTTGTTTATTTTTATTTCTTTATTTTGGACTAGCAAACAAGCACGCGTGTTCAATGGGAGAAAAAACTATAAAAAATTAAGAAGAATGACGATGGAAATAACATGTATATATTTATATATATTTTTCATATTCTATAAAATTTAAAGTCTAAATGTTAGTTCATGATGTCAATGAAGTCCATAATATAAGTTAATATCGGTAATAATATAACGATGTCTTAATAAGCCTGTATCGAATTAAAATACAATCTTGATAAATCTTTTCTCTCTTTGCAAAGCACATAAAGATATTTATACATAAATATATCATAATTTAATTTCTATACTATCAAATGTTACATATTGAGTTTCGTGGCTTTCCTTTAGGATAAAGAAATTCTTTAATTCTAATAATGTTAGTCACCAACGTGCAAATATTACTTTGTTCATTGATGACTAATGGGAGACCTCTGTCGATTTTACCCATGTCAATCCTCATCGAGGATTGCAGAAATAGAGTTATTAAAAATAGGTTATTGTTTGTAATGAAAATCTGACCAATAACTTGGTGATAAAATCATTGATTTTTAGCGGTGGTAAAAATCTTTGATTTTTGATAAAGGTCAACGGTTTAAAGACATGTAATATTTGTATTTATTATTATTTTTTAACTTTTATAGAAAAGACCACTCGAGCAAAGCGGAGAAAGAAAACCAAAAACAGAGATGCATGGACGGGATGGGAAAGAAAAACGGAGGGATGGGAAAGGGAAAGGGAAACGGAAACAGGAGCCGACGGGAAAAGAAAAAAAACACGGATAGAAAAGAAAAGGACAAACAAATTGCGGACTAAAACTATGGACGAAAAAGGATGAAAAAATGGAGAGAGCCAGACAAAAAATGGAAAAGAAATTTTGGTTCTTTAATAATGTATACTAGAATTATAGCAGTGCGTTGCAACAGAAAGGAAACAACATCCGACAAACTCAGTATAGGCGGAATGGCTGAATGGCAACCAAAATCAAGGTCGATGAACACGCCGGTGCTCTGTCCACTGTGGCGGACCGGTGCATATTGCTGCGTTAGGATTTGACGACAGCGAAGGAGGGGTGAACGCATTGTATAAGCGTTTACGTTGGTATAGTACCACGATTGCGTGGTTCTAGTCATAGGCTGGATTGAAGTAGTGGGCGCCCATCTGCCAAATTGTTTGGAATTTCCACTTTCAAAACTAACACATTGATTTTATTCAGAATTTTTCTTTCCGTGTATACAAAACACATGAGATGTGGATATTGTACAAGATGCATGCCGTGTTATTTGTATTTTTGTATCCTAGTGGTTCAGTAAAATACTCATGGACTGGCCTTTAGCGAGTTCACCTCAGTCATTCCATGACCGCAGCATGTCACATTCGCATGGAAAAAGGTCGTCTACCATCTCAAAGCCTACCTGACTGATCTAGTGTTGCCTCCACCGGGGAAGTGGGGACGCGCCAGACGGATCGCTCCATCCGCTCACCGCTACCCCGTACTCGGTGCGAGGTGGGAGCGGGCGAGACAGTTAGTTTAGGGATCGGACGAGACGGAGCTTGTGGATCCTGGCGTCGGTGCGCGTCGTGGGATCGGGCGAGTTGGAGTCGTGGATCCTGATGGGGCGAGTTCGAGGTCGTAGACCCAGGCGTTTGGTGTGCAGTCGAGGCGTAGCCGAGAGATGGGGCGAGTTCGGGGTCGCAGACCCAGGTGTTTTGGCGTGCAGTCGAAGCGTAGCCGATGGATGGAGCGAGTTCGGGGTCGCAGACCCAGGCGTTTGGTGTGCAGTCGAGGCGTAGCCGAGGGATGGAGCGAGTTCGGGGTCGTAGACCCATGTGTTTTGGCGTGCAGTCGAGGCGTAGCTGAGGGATGGAGTGAGTTCGGGGTCGTAGACCCAGGTGTTTTGGCGTGCAGTCGAAGCATAGCTGAGGGATGGGGCGAGTTCGGGGTCTTGAGCTCCCGAGCCCCGTTGGGCTTTGGTAGGGGTCGGTTTGAGTTTGTGTGCATTACCCTGTTCTCGGTTTCTCACAATCGGAGGGGCTGAG